TTCGACCAGGCTATTGGAGTACCACGACTACTCCTCTCACGACGGTTCGTTGAATGTCAAAATATTTTGAATTATGGGGGGGGGTTTCTGAAAAGGGTTTGGCTTTCTCTGATCTCGTAATTTATACTTTTAAAGAAGCGTCGAGCTAGAAGGATGAACTGAGTGATTTTGATTCTTTACGCTTGAACAATAAATGGAAAAATAGACCTGAACATAAAAATTGTAGCTGTCTAAACTCTTGCTATCAACTTCTTTTAGGATAATCAAAAGGAATAGAAACATGGTTATTTCAGATAGTGTATGTATTTCGGCGGGGAGTAGTTCAATTAACACTGTGCATGTTAAATAGGAGTTCACTTTTTGTTATGCTCTTTATGCAAATGGAGCAGCCAGGGTTCGGCCCTTTTCTCACAACTTGTTTGTGTAGTATGCGTCCAGTTAAATCTTCATGACAGGTTCTACACACACTCTCATGTTTTTTGCCCCAGGTTTTTTTAAATCTCAGGCAACGTTATTTTACAAGCATCTTGTGTGAGAGTGACGTACATTTTACAAAATTGCTTATTAAATCGAAACAAATGAACCTCTTTTAATAGTTCGTCTTCTAAGGAAAGAACTCCCCACCTACTAAGAGAGATTTAATTTTGACAATTGCCTAAAATCAATATAATGGCGTTGCCCTTGTAACAAAATTTGCTTGAGCCACTGACAGCAGATCATGGATACTGCAGTCCGGACTGCATGTCACTGGGAGAGATAAAGCAATGGCAATAATAATACTGGTATTCATATATATGTGTCACGAAGCAGTGGATCAGGCGCTCGTCAATTTTTTGGGCATGTGGAGTATTGGTTTCATCTGAAAGCTGATTTATTTGCCTTGCTTCCTATTAAATAAATATTAAATATCCATCTATCTTGAATAGAGCTCAAGATATTTGCGATTGGAGGAAGTGAGGTTGCCTAGTTTCAGTGGTAAAATTAGCGAGAAAACGGCCACCATAGTTTTAGTAGAGGGTTGTGTGGCGCTCTCAACTGCATAAGGTCATATGAGCGCCAAAGGGTGGGTGTCAACAGAGAAATCCTTACAGGGAATCAGACTTACTCTGCTCACCTCTCTAACTTCAACAGCACAAGATCTGCTTCGACTATCAAGGCACCCCGGAAATAGCGGGTTACAAGAGTGTGACAAACATACAAAAGAAGTAGAGGCTAATGACAATAGTAAGGATTAGGAAAGAAAAAGCAGCAGCACCAAAGTTTGGTAGTTCCAATAGCAAAAGTCCTTCAAAACAGAAAAATTACAGATTTTGTACCTTTAATCAATGTTTTTCAGTAAAATTCACATGGAAATGTGTTTTTGTATGGACATAAGAGAGGTTGAGCCCAAAAATAAAAATTCAATAAAAATTTTCAAACTTTCGGAAAAATCCCTGTTTCTCCAATTTCTGTATTTTGACGAGTGCCTTGATTTCACCACGCTGCCTTATACATTATTTATTTATATACTTGTACACGTCTTGAAAAGGCGTACATGTAATCTTACCATCTAGTCGGTGGAATAGTAATACCAGTAAATTATATATTTATTTACTTTGCAAGATTTGCATGCCCATGCCTTATCCCTTATGTCTTTAAAGCATTGCCTGGAGTGGAAGCTGCTGTTATCTCTCAAAAGTAATGATTTGTGTCTTGAGCAAGTATTTTCAACCAGTCTACCATGACAGATCAAGTATGCCCCAAATGATTGACAGATATAAAAAGATTCAGATAAATGCATCATGTAAGAACCTGTTTTGTGTTTGCAAGGAGAATGTGTGGCAATATTTTCTTCACAGAACAGAACAGTTTTTTAAAATTCTTGCACATATGTATAAAAAATATTTAAGTTATCAAATTTTATTTATTCATGAGGTTTTTGTTTGTTTCTTACGAGATCAAATTTTTTTGGAAAGCTAATCATGATTCTTGACAGTTTTAGACTCTTACTGGGAGTGCCATGACAGATAGATGGAAAGTGACATGTTTTTGGTTTTATTTAATGAAACCCTTGAAAAGGAGTCTGACTAAATGTTTGTAGTGTTTTCACTGAAAAACACAGACTTCCTTATAAACTTGATTTCATTTGTTTGGTTAGGGTGGAAGGGAACATGCTTCAGTGAGATGGAAGGGAGATGGTCAAGAATTGACAAAGAACAAAGGTTTAGAATTCAGTTTTAGTACTTACCTATATGTAGTATTAAAACACTCTTAATTTAACACCGCCAAGTTAAAAATGTATTGATGAAGATGGAAGGAGCATGCAAAAATGAGGAATGCAAGTACTTGTGGTTTTTATCAAGTTTGACTGTTGATTGAAAGCATTTGTGAGAATCATGGCTGTGATTTATTTGTTAATGTTTAAAATTTAGTTCTTCTATTGAAAGAAGTTGAAGAAGTGATGACAAAATGACTTTGTTTTTGTGGTATCACTGAGATAAAATAAATGACCCTCAAACCGAAACAATTTTTTATTCTTTTTTATATTTTTTCTTTGCAATTTTATCATTTTGTAGAGTGTAGAGTTCATGATGCACTGTAAGTTTCAATACTGTGGTAGTATACAGTATTATGTTGTATCTGACAGTATCCACATCTCTGTCAGTTTGATGCCAGTGGTGACCAATTCATTTTGAGCAAGAACAAAGAGCATTAAAAAGAGTAATCATCTTCAAGCATTTTTTCTGAGCTTGAATTTTTCATTGCAGTTGCAGTTTGCAAAATACTTGATTTGAAAGTCTTCCCTTCAAGTTTGTAATGTTCACGTACAAATCATTTTTAGTAATTCCTTGGTGGTTTAGACTAGAGTAGTTTAAATGATTCCATATCTTTTCGTATTTTTAACTAGATAGGGGTATATATATAATATATATTATCTATTTATATATATATATATATAAATATATATATATCATTGCTATTATCAAATTCTAATGTGGGGGAAACACAAAACCAATACAATTATAATGGAAACCTTTCAAATTCAATACAATTGCATTTTAAAATTCTTAATTCATTTTTATTTTTCTTCAGTGCACTTGTTTACTTCATTCATTTTTATATTAGGATGCATCAGTAAAATGTTCAATTGTACTGTATTTTGATGAATAAAGTGGAGTTTTCTGGAACAGCTATCTGGTGTTCTGCAGATTTAATTGATCTGGGTGTAGTGATAGTCATGATCGGGGGAGGGGGGCGCACTGGATGCTCAATGTGCTAAACCAGTGTTTTTATTGATACAGAGGAACTCGGATTCCACAAAGTCGTTAGGCCTGACCTTCAATTTAGTTGAATCCAAGTATTCGTTATAGCAAACGTGAGGGTTTTGTGTGGATAATTATGGGCACTGAGGAAATAATTATATAAATTTGAATATAATGTATTCTACTATCTGAATCAAAAGTGACAGACTGAAGTGTCTTTAGGCCATTCCCAAGGGGGGTAGAGACATTAACCATGTTCTTATGCATAGTAGAATTGTAATTGTAAATGGGCTGATTCATAAATGTCATGCTCATAACTGCCTGAACTGCAACAGGGAACAGGGAACAGCTGCTTTTTCTTTCCTAATCCTTACTATCGTCATTTTCCTCTACTTCTTTTGTATGTTTGTCACACTCTTGTGACCCGGTATTTCTTGGGAACCTTGATAGTCGAAGCAAAATTTGTGCTGTTGAAGAAAGAGAGGTGAGTAGAGTAAGCCTGATTCCCTGTACTGTAAGGACTTCTCTGTTGACATCAACCTCTTGGCACTCATATGACCTTATGTAGATAGTTGCAAGCGCCACAAGACCTCTACTAAACTAAAACAAAACAAATGAAAAGTGAGCACTTGACAGAACCCATAATACCGACATCTATGGAGTGGCAGTTAGGCACTTTGCCGCTGCGTGCAGGAGATCTAAGTTTAAATCCAGAGTAGGGAGATTTTTATCAAGTATTTTGTCTTTCTGCTACATACTGTTTCCCTCTCAGCCAGGCTGGCCCCAACAGGCAGGGACGGAAACCTTCCTCTTAAATCTATTATCTAAATTGTCGTTGGGGACCTAAAAATTAAAAACAGCTACCGGTACCAGTACATTTACCAGTACATTCTTTTTAAAAAGAACCCTAAAGGTTAAAGTAAACACCACATTATGTTCGCATTCATAGTTCACAGAGATTGAAGGCCATCCCACTTTCATTTTCTGACCTCCAGAGTAGAGAAGCACATCGACATGATGAACTGTCATTTAGAGCAAGGAAAAAGCAAGAACAGACAGAAGCAACGAAAGGAAAGGAAAAAAGTACTGTACCAGTAGTACCTACCAACCAGTGGTGCCCTCCAACCACCTGCTCCACCAATTAGCTCTCTGCTGTTCTATCAATGGGGGGGAGAAATTCAAACTAACATTACGCAGTCACAACAAGTATCCTTGCTCATTGTGAAAAAAAACAGAGCCAGAAGATGCATTTCCCTGCAACTGCCTTTAGTGGGACAAACTGTTCAGTGCATGTTTAGACTTAAGTAGAGGCACAATCACTTCTAAACCCATACTTTTTTCCCCTAAACAACATAGTCATACCAGAAAGGCATTGGTCTTGTTGTAGCCCAGCTTTGCAGGAACCAGTCTAGACAGCCAGATATGTAGCACCACAGACTTGTATGCAACTTATTACCTCCATCACTGTATTCCACCCAGGAACAAAAAGTACAGTACCACCATGGCTCTTTCACACTTCGGCTGACTGTCCTTGCCCAGTGCACGTAGAACTCTAGAACCCCGATCCCCAGACACAAACAAAGGTACAGTAGTCTCCGCCTCAACGCACGGTGCTCGGGAGGGATCCTGAGCGTGTGTTTATACGGAGCGTGCGTTTACATGAACCTTTGCAAGGGGAGGAAGGGACGCTGTCATCTCAATTCCTTATTACTCTGGTGATCTCCCTTGGAGGAGGGGGTCATTTTGGCAGATAATGTGACGATACGTGGCTGTTTTGTGAAGGATTCCCCGAGTCCCCGACAGGGGTTAAGAATACAAAGGGGGGACAAACACAAAGTAATGAATATGCACTATAAACGTCGGGAACAGATAGCCTATGAGGAAACGGTTGGTGATAGTCATAGAGACAACGGACCAGCCACATGGCTTTCCAAGCAACCGCCCCGACCGTAAATTCATGCAGAATCATCTTCGAGAAACATTTTGTCTTGTGATTCGTTGAACAAGTAGATCTACGTTATAAGTTCTTCGAGCGCAGCTTATTAGGCTTACTTGGCTACTCTTTAATTCTATAGAGGCCTGTCTAGTGTTTTACGACATTTACACATATCGCGCATCAGGTCTAGATCTAATTAACCATTACACGCAGTCACTCAAACACCAGTCAGAAACCATCTCTTAAAGATACATTTCCAGTGACCAATCAAAAAACATTTCAGTCCCCCCAATCCCATCCACCCCCCCCCCAACATTTAACCGACCAGCCCGAGACCGAGACCTATGCGTCAGTGGAAAGTAGGGTGTGTAAACGCTGTCTATCACTCTCTTTGTCCGGCGTGAGGGGCACTCTCACCAAGTATCCGGTTTTCTAGTAAATTCTAGGCTTGCCTTATGCAGGCTGTGCAGGTTGTAGTGAAAATTTTCCCTTGCCAAATTTAACTTGACGCCATGTTCCGCGGATCGGAGCGTGCGTTTAGAGGGAGTGACCGTGCGTTTGCACGTCTAAATTATATAGTAAAAAACCTGTCAGAGGACGAAAGCGTGCATTTGAGCGGAGCGTGCATTTGAGCGGAGCGTGCTTTTGTATGGCGTGCGTTTAGGCGGAGACTACTGTATGAAAATGACAAGCATTTTGGTACTCTAGCCGACTGACCACACCCAGAAAATTAGCCTACACATAAAAATGTCCAGTAAAAAAATCAAAGTCACCCTGAGCAAATGAATTTTACTAAAGGAATAGAAATTTATTTCAGTTGAATAATGACATTTGACTTGGTAATAATATTTGCATTTCCACAAGACAAAAAAAGTCATTATGCACTGTACACTTTTTATAGAATTTATGGACACAATGTCAAATTACATTCAGATACAACAGTCTTTAGAAATTGTGGTAAGTTCATTCAGTAGGCAATTATGATTTTTTATACATTTGAATGTATAATATAAGATGTCGGTAACATTCACTACATACAGATTAACTTTCCTCATTGGCTCTGTGTTAGTGATACTGCAACAAAATTACAAGACAGATACTGTCAAGAAAAGGCAATACATATATTATGAAGCATAAATATGAGCATAGGGCAGAAGACACTTTTAATGGCCCACCCAGAATTGAGTGCAGGACATAGTAACATTGTGATTATCAACTTTCAAAACCGTCCCCATTGGATAATCAAAGTTTTTTTTTTTACACAGAGCCACAGAGATAACCAACACAAAAATGTGAGCACATTCTTTACATCTTTGAAGAAGGCATATTCTGGAAATGTTCTGTCTTGGAAGTATAAAAAAAGGCATCCCCCATTTTCCTCAAGCAGCTGAATTTTCACCACTTGAGTCCGCCTCATTTTGTTTTGGTTTCGCACTTACTTTCAGGTCACCCACTTCATCAGATGCACATGGTGCGTCATGACAATTTTTGTCCATTACGCTACAGGACGATGTGCATGGGTCACTAGCAGAGACTTCCACTATAGTAGATTCTACCCTTCCATTTGCAGCTTTTCCAACATTAGTGTCTGTCACAATATCTGTCACCTCTTTCACAGGAGGATCATCTGTGGTACTTGCCAGAGTGCTTCCAGTGGGCTCTGACAATTCCAAGGCGCAGTTCATTTCCTCGTCGCTGTCGCTTGATGAACTGCTGCTTTCATTTCTAGCGTCACTTTCGTCATCAGAGTCATCACTGTCACCACCAGAAAAAACCTCGGCTCCCTTGAAGACATAGCAGCTCGGGGGCAAAAACAGAACTTGGTCGTCTAATGGGAGAAAAAGAGAAAAAAAAGCATTCTTAGCAGATTTGTTAATAATATTAGGGATTTGACTCATCTTATTTCTAAATCATATCGCAGTCTTTGAAAACAAAATAAAATACAGAAATCCAGGCCAGCGAGTCTTATGCAACAGCAATCACCGACTTTCTGAAGTCACAAAAAAATGGGAGAAATCAAATTTTACCAAGGTAGTTGACACATAATTAAATGTATTTCTTAAAAAATAGAGAAACTTTGAACTACTGCTGAACAAAGGAGAAAACCAAATAGAGCAGTTAGACCAGCTCCACTTAATCTTGAGAATCGCAAGGTTTCATATTGAATATTTTGGTCTCTTTCTCTCATGCCCTTTCCCAGTTTTATCACTGGTAAGTGCAACAGCATTGTGTACCAAATAAAATCAAAGTGAGAGCAGAGAATTTCTCATATCAGATGACTGTGTTACCACGGAATGCCATACACCACAAGTGACTTAAAAACTAGATCTTGACGGAACCTTACACTACGATTAAGACACATTACACGTGGGAATTTCCTTACGCGCTCCACCGTAACTTGCCCGGAATCGCCCGCGCTGACCTAGCGACTTTAGAAACAAATTCTTGCCTTGATAAACTCTGGGGCCGAAACTTTGATTTACATAGTTATTGAAAAATGTTTCTTCTTTCATTTCATACTGAAACAAAAGTTTTCTGGCCAGTAGTTTTAGTATTACAGCCGATCGAAGTGAGATCGCGTTTCCGACACTTCGAAGGCGTCTCGACTTGTTGAAAAGCAACACAACTGAGTTTGAAAAAGGAAATAACGATGGATTTGAGCAAAAACAAGCATATGACAAATCAGATGAAACAGATATCGATGAAATCATTGTAGCAAAAGTTGGGGGCGATTCAGATTGATCAGATGTAGAATTGAGATCTAGGGCCCGACCATGAGGCTGAGAGCGAGAATGACGGGTCGGACACCCCAATTGAACTAAAGTTAAAACATTTCTAACAGTTTGCACATAAAGTTATATTTTTCTGTAACTACATTCATTTTCCTTTCTAACTTTTATTTTTTCAGTTATTTAGTATTTTTTTAAAGTGTTTTTTAAATGCTTGTATTCACATAAGGTGGGTTCCTTCCCCTTGCTTAGGATCTAGGAGGAATGGACTTCCCGTCCAGACCCTTAGGGTGTATTATGTCAAAGAGCCTAACATATTTTGCATGAAGTTCTGGAAATAGCCACCAGAGACTGTTCATTTCTGTTCAATTCACCCACACAAAGACAATGCTGACTTTTTTCAACGATTGGGACATTTTCACACAGGCTTGATGATCCAGGTTATTTCAAGAAACAACCATTTCCATAAATTTCAACCTTTACTACAACCTGGTATTTTTGCCTTCATTCACCTGCAAAAAAAAAAAGGACAAAAATTTAAAAATCCACATCCCGTTGAGAAATATCCTTGCCCTCGATACGGGAAACACTCAGTGATTCCATTCCAAAAACTGACCTACCCGATACGAAAAAAAAAAAGCACCTTATTTACCCTCCCTACGCTAGCAATGAAATGTGCAGCTGTATATCCCTTTAACTAAAATCATGTGCAGTCTTATAACAGAACCTAACGATGGATGACATTTAAAAAAACAGCACTATACAAACCTGACAATCTTGTTGCAAGACTAACTCTTTTGGCTTGCCACATCTTTCTGATATCCCCTAGCGAGTCGATCTGAGAGCTGTCGTCTCCCGATCCAGTTCCTTCTGCGGGCTGATCATCTCCATCCTCCAGCTCAGGCTGTGAGCTCAGCTTTATCTTTTTAGCATTTGGCCCATCCTCCCCACCAGGAGGAGACTCACTGTCCGGATCACGCTTCTCCTCTTGTGTCCCAGACAATGAGCATGGTTGCTGTTGGTCTGTACCATGCTGATCGCTTTCTGCGACCTGAGCACGCTCGTGGTGGTGGTGAGATTTTCTGGGCGAGTCATGGTCTGAGTGAACAGCATGGTGGTGGTGATGATGGTGACTACTGTTTTGCTGTTGTTGTGACTGCTCGCCCCCGCTGGGCATGTACAAGACATCCTTTCTGTGACCAGCGCTCACAATCGTTTCAATCGTCTCGGCAGAGCAACAGCAGGGATCGGAGCCCCTCTCCTCATTATTAGTAGAAGTTGGTTCAGATTCAGACTTACTAGAGCTAGCAAGGTCAGAAAACGGCCGCTTCAAAGAATGACTCTGAACTGAACTTTTGCCTTTCCTTGGTGACTGGCTGCCTTCTCTACTCTTCATTGCCTGCTCATGTTGCTGCTCTTCTTTAGTGTTGTGGCAAACAGTCAAAGGCTTTGCGCCTTTTTCTTCTGTGGGCTCTGACACCTCAGACTGCTTGAGGTGACGAGACGTTGCGGTAGAAGTTGTGACATCGCTATCTCCCTCCGGTTTCGCTTCTGACATGTCCTCAGCAGAAGACGACGAAGGGCCTCTCATGTCAGTAGGTGCCGAGGATGAATCAGCCACCTCTTTTACAATAGTTGACAGGGAAGGCAAGGAGTGGGAATCCTCAGACCATGGACTGCGAGGTGGTGTTGGAAGAGCAGAGAGGGAAACTTCGGTCAACGGTGGTCCAGGCTGAGCCAGTTGTTCCCAGCCATCACCCAGACGTCGACAAAGGTCAGCCACGATGTCGTCGCAATTTCCCAACAGCTCCACATCAAAGTTTAAGTACGGGAGGCGCTCTCTGTTGATCAGTATTTGAGGTATGTTTGCAGGCAAGGAATCTGGAACACACAGAAGATTTTAATGCAATTTTGGTTAACCGGTTACAATATCAAATGCACTTTTTGTATCCATAGTAAATAAATATATAAATACGAAAACAACAACAGAATAATTCAGACCCCAACCTCAATCTTATGTACCCTGATCAAAATCTTGATTAACAGTACAGTGCCACAGCAGCTGGTATTCCCACACGGAAACTGAGGTTAAAGTCAGAGAGTGCGAGAGAACAACAACTGCGCAATGTGATTTTTCAGACTTCATAAAACACAAAACAAAGGCCTTCATTGACAAAAAATATAATTTATCACTGGTACATAAACAGCCAAATAACAAACACATTTATAGAAATTTAGACAGGAAGCTGAAACATGCTAAGGTTATAGCCATTTTTCTCCAAACCTTTTACACTATTTGTTAAAAAACGAAGTATATCTTTAACTCACTGACTACGGATCCCGTCTCGGGTACGGGCAGGCGGTCGGTTCGCAGATACGGATCTCGTACCCCCGACGGAATGGACTTTGCGGCTTTGTTCCTTATCTTGTGCTCCCGTCACATGTACGAGAACAGACTCCAGTGCTAGTTTTGCCTCTTGTTTCGTTTGGTGCCGAGTTTGGCGGAGGTTTCGTGGTAACTTTTTAAGCAATTGAAGGTGAAAGACAGTCACCTCATCTGGGGTTGACCTTACCGGAACTCGTGCTATGTTTTTTCTATACAAATGATAGTAATCCGACAGTCGCGTCGAAGTAACGGTCGCATGAACAAGAATCACATAATTTCACTGTTTTCGATACTTCTGTACGTTTTGCTAGTTCTAGTGACTCAGGATATGATGTGTCTGATAGTTACGATCCTGGATATTTACCCGAACACAGCCCGAGTCGTAGTTTTAGGGCTAGATCTAGCACTAGTACTGTTGTTGTTGTTCGCGCGACGAAATCACAACTTCGTTTCCTACATCTGTCTCATGTAATTCAGTGTATGGGTCTGAATAAACACACAGAGCAGCTTTTATATTTTAACCAAACACTCACACATGGATACAAATCAAAACAGAACACTTTGAACTTTTATTTTTGTGGTTGTTTGGAATTTCATTGTCATGTCTCTGGAAATTTTTCGAAAAATCAAATTCATTCCAACTTTGAAACAATCATAAGAATCAAAGTATTAGACCTAGAGAACTTAAATTTTTTTTTAATAGATTAAATTTGAAAGTTACTTTACTGTGTCAAAAAATAATTACAATAGGGTAATTCTGAGAGTTGTGGTGATGTTTTTGAAATACCCAAAAAAATGCTAGTACTCAGCGCCAGTGATTTGTGAAAGGGGTCAGTAGTCAGTGAGTTAAAACTACTCAAGATCTTTGAAAAATATTAAAATCAGCTTGTTCAGCATTGAATTTGCTTTAAGGGGAGGCGGCTAATGAAAATGCCAAAACTCAGTTCAAACCATTTTGTAGCCACTTTGTATGCATCAATGGATACATACACTTTAAAAACGAGGTTTTGTGAAATAAAAAATTCATTTTTTATTTTTTTGTTCTTGTGGCGGCAAAAAATGGTGCTGATTCAGCAAAATTTCTTTATATTTTGTAAACAGTGTTTCTACAAAACAAATAAAGATACAAGCTTCATACTTGGTATATATGCTATATATTGCTTGCTTCTCCTCCTTACAGAATCAAATTTCAAATATCTATTATACATTTTCCAAATTTTACCCTCACTTTGACCAATGTTCAGAATTCCATATTAGGCGATGCGGAAACGCAAAAATGCCAAATAACTCAAGACAGAATCAATATTCAGGAAAAGTGCTTTTGTAAGGAGGAAGGCACTTATCTTGGGAATAATGTGTGAAAATTTCAATGAAATCTGACTGTCAGTTATTGAGATACACTTTCTATAAAGTTACCAGTTAGCGGAAAATGCAATTTCGAGAAAAACGCAAACAAAGTTTTCGAAACATTGTGCAATCACAACCATCTCGGTTTTCACTAAAATCCAACATTATTCAGCAACATACACCACGTTTAAACAGCACAGGCTATTTACCCCCCCCCCCACCCCACCCCCAGCTGTCCTCTCACAATTGAATCTCCGCCCCAAGAAAGTAAACTCTCATTTGTCTTTCAGTTTCTGTTCTTAAATGGGAGAAGAAGCTAAAATATCTATGTAAGGTAATAGGACATTCAAGGGCTTGTGTGAAAATTTCAACCAACTCTGACTGTACTTTTCCGAGATCTAATCAAAATAGTGCAGCAGATTTGGCAGAAAAGTAATTTCGAGAAAAACGCGAATAAAGATTTTGCACGCTAACAATGACATGCCCGTCTAAATTTATATGTTAATGTTGCCATACTGAATTGTTTAGGTAAATTGAGTTTGTTGTTAGTCTTTTCCACATTAATAAATCTGTAAATGATTTGGCAGGTGACTGCCTTTCTTAGAATTAGAAGAGTCGAGACTTTGTCGAGCCCCCCCAAAAAAGCTGCTACCTCTCCTTCATTTTCTTCCCATGTGTTTTGGTTTTGCAATGGTGGAATCTAAGACTATGCAACCAAGAAAAGCACACTGTAAGCTGGCACTACATGATACTACATGTATCTAGATCTGTATATTTTCTCAATTTATTTTATCCTATCTATATATTTCTGCACAGTCGCTTTCAATCTTGCTTGAAGGGGTTAGCCGGCTTTGGGAACACTGGTCTCCGATTTTTTTAAACCCAATAATAATAAAGTAAAAAAATTGTTTTAAATAGCACTTGGCCTTAGAGATTTCTATTGCTAGATCTAGATCTGCGCTAAACAGACTTGTTCACTGCGAACAACCGGAGAGGCTAGGGAAGCCATCAAAACAAAATTTATCCTAGATCTAGAATCTAGATTCTAATTCTAAAAACTTCGTTGATCGAGCGCAACGTATATCTGTAGATCTATACTTTGAATACCCCAGCCACATAATCATGGAAAGTACTGAAGGCCATTATGTATTATATGTATAATCTCAACAGTTTAGATCCTGGATTAGCTCACTCAAAACGACTAAGACTAAGACATCGAATCGAATCACAATCAGATAGACAGACGAGAGAAGACGAATAAGAAGGAGCATGTGTTCGGTAGGCCTTGTCGGGCCGAAATACTACACAAAATTGCAGATGGAGATGATAACAATAATTATTCAGCCTGTAAACAAGATTTATTAGCGTTGAAATTGGCAACACGATAGAAAACTCTTTGAAACGCAGTGAAAACGTTCACATTCTGTCTTGCGGCACGCAGTGTAAACAATGGCCCGTGAGGGGAATCCCCTTCATTGCTACCGGCTCAGCGAATGAAAATTCACAGTCCGGTCACGTGACGTAAGTGGCCAACCGGTATTTGGTACGGGGTCTTCAAAAAATACCTAAATGGGTCCCCAGAGTAGTTCCGCACGAAAACGAAAGTGCAATAAAGGAATAGTTCTTATCACTGCCTTTCCAACGATACCAAACTTGATTACCTTGCAGCCACGGAAAGTGATGTTGTCAAGGTGTAAAGTTTAGCATTTGTTGACGTTTTGTTTGAATTTTTTTGCCCCCCCTACCGCTTTCAAATACATTTTTATATATATTAGAGGTCTCTTTAGGTTTTGGGACCTTCACAAACAGATTTTTTACATATTTTTCTGTAAGAATATCCAAATACTCGAAGTTCCATTTTTTTTTAGCAAATACCCAATTTTCTAGGGGATCGAGACCCGCGGATTCCCTTTAAAAAAAGCCCTTATTTCAATATCCAAAATTTTGGACAATTGGGACTTTTCTCTTGGCACACACTTATTTTACTGCTTCAAAAAACAGACCTGCCAACCCCTCCATGACCAAACACAAGTTTTCCTCAAAATCCTCCCCAAAATTTGAAGTTTGAGGGGAAAGAAAATCGGAGTCTAGAGAAACCCAGTAGATCAAAAATATGTTATGAACCGAACGCGGCAAATAAAGGTGTATTGTAAATGCATCCAGGTAGGGTAGAAATGATTATTTTCATGACATTTACAATAAGTCAAACAAATATTTGCATATAGTCGTTGCAGGATTCTAAACGGATTACTCAGTTTCTCTGAATTTTACAGAAGAGTACAAAACTAAAAAGCAAGGCTGTTATACACATTTTAGCTGTTTAGATTCCAACGTTGTTGCTACTGTTTGGATAGGTTAATCTGGCTGAAAGTTGTTTATAGGATGTGTTGTATGTTAGTCAGAACTTAAAGAAAAGACAAAAACTACTTGCAGCATTAGTAGTGACATGAAACAATGAAATAAAACTTGCAAAATAATCCTGCTATCACTTACTTGGAATCAAGGCCACAGGACGAACTTTCAGGGAAGAACCAATGACAATCAGAAGGTCACATTCATCCTTGTCTAAAGCCATCAGATTATGGAACTGTTCTGGCAAACTCTCCCCGAAGAACACAATGTCTGGTTTCATGACAGCATTACCTGCTGATGGGGTGCATTTGGGACAGGGAGGAATGACCTGAAGGACAATAAAAAAGGAACTATCAGGGAGCGTAAAGGAGCTCAATAAATCATTATCTTGAATGACATTACAGCATGAACTGCTATCATGATATATTACTGGTAAATCTCAGAATAGCAGACCTCATACAGGGGTCTCTCGTGGCCTAGAGGTTAAGGTGTTGGCCTCTCATTCAAAGGTCCCGGGTTCGATTCCGGGTAGCGACCAAAAAATTTTCTTCTCTAAAATTGTCTCCTTTCATATCCTTTCCTGATCTCTAACAATGTTCTGTTGTCTGCTTTCATTTCCACTTTCTGCCCCCACCCCCTCACCTCCTTTGCCCCCTCCTCTAGGCTCCTGACTCTTTCTGCAGCCTTTCTACTGCTACTCCTTGGCTCCTCCTAACTGCTGTCTTTCTGCCACACCCCTGATCTTCTGGTAGGAAAGATCTACACCTAGCCTTCTCGGACAAGGGCGAAAAATCTCTGAGGGCCCGTGTGCAAGTTGCGCACGTTAAAGATCACTTGGTGGTCTAAAATCGATAAGAGTAGGCTTCGGCCGCCACCCGGGCAAAATTCAAAATTTCCTACCAACGAAAAAGTATTAGGTGTGTCCCGCGCGCTCATATGACCTTATGCAGTTGCGAGCGCCGTAAAACCCTATACTAAACAAACAAACAAGACCTCATACAAGTACAGTCAATCCCTTTTTTGTTTTTGTAAAGTGTTTTACGGCGCTCGCAACTGCATAGGTCATATGAGCGCGCGGGACACTCCTAATATTTTCAGTTTCTAGACTTGCACACATTTTCAGAACATGAAAAAAAAATTTTTTAAACAAAACAAGTAGACTCCATACCATATAAGCGGTGTCGTGCTATATTTGACTCAAATACGCCAGACTAAGAAAACAAAGTTGAAAATCATGTACCTAGCGTAATGACAGCTGTCTTATGATTCTCCTCATGTTACGGATAACAGGCTGTATATTTTCTCTTCTAAAAAAATCAAACAAGGGTAAAAATCCTTACTTTTTCCTATCATCGATAACAATGATATATTTATTTTTACTTGAAACCTATTTCAGCATAAGACCTCTGCTTTCTGCATTGATTGCAGAGTTCATTTACAGTAACTTCGGTCTCATTTTGAAAGACAGTACTTATATGATCCTTTTTCTGTAGACACGCACAACTGCCAACTTTTAAAAAAACCAAAAAAAACAGACACTACCCACAAAGTGGGTCAAGATTGTGGGCATTGGCCAAGTAAACCCCCCCCAACCTTTCACACACACTTTTTTGCTGTCAATAAATTCTAGCTATTCAGAGAGAAGCCGCAGCAAAAGATCTCTTCAATTGACTTGTGGGCTTCATTTTCATAATCATTTTCAATTCAAGTCTTGAAAGTTCATAAATTTCATCAGTTTCGGCAAATCCATTATAAGGAGAAAAACTAGAAAACATTACACCGATTTTTCCTATACGAAAACAAAAATGTATTAAATACATTTTCTACTTACTTGTAAGCAGTTATGTACACACATTAGAAAATACAACAAATTTATAGAAGATAATAATCACAAAACCTGATTGACAATATCTTCTTTGATGGCATCCGAATCCACTTTGAGTCCACAAATGGTGCAGGTGGCTGACGCAAAAGATCCTGAAAACATTTGACATTGAAAGAGTGACTCATAATTTGATGAAAATGAACTAACTTATTTTTCACATTATTCCATTTTTTTTTTACGTAAAAATTGGAAAACACCACAAACACTTGGTTTTTTAAAATTATCATATAAATTATGGATATGTTTATCAAAACAAAAACTTGTCACAGCAGTAGTGGCCTAGAGATACAATACACTATGGTTTCAAATTCAAGAGTAATTTCTTTTCAATCATTTAATCATGCACTTTTCGATGCTCCAATTATCTCCCACAAAGTCATGCAACATGATGTACTGACCGAAGGCAAAACACCACTGACCTCTTCAGGAAATTGAAAATCCCAAGCCACACATAAGTATGGATACCATCAGTATCCACTGAAATACTAGACAGATGCATGCCTTTCCCACAATTCTTTTTTTTTTCTAGTTGACATAAAAATAGCCAAGCAAATAAAAAAGTTTCAAAATATCAACTGGACTGAAATATTTCACAGTTTAACTTGAACACCCCACAAATATCAGACACCCCCAACTACACTACATAGTAATACAACTTATCTCACCATGACATTGCACTACTCTTTCTATTCCAGCAACCTGCTCCAATGTGTCAATGTTTTGGGTATAGTTTCTCAGCAATTTTCCATTCTCTTCAAGAGCTCTGATAAAATGGTGACAGAGCGAAGGCTTGAACTGGCCTGGGTAGATTTCCTGGGATACACAAAACAAGCATTGAAAATAAGAGATTGTTTACAGAATCACCTTTCTATTCTTGTTAACATGTATTTTAGGGAAATGATATTGCATCCTGAATCCCCTGGGCAACAATTTGCCCTTCACCTTTATCCACAAAAATGCACGTCATTTATGTCCCCATTTGAACTTTCCATAACATGCCTTTACAAAACAGTTTTATCATCTAAAAAAGCTATCTACAATAAGAGTCAAATCGGAGACTAAAAAGTAGAGACACATCACTGCTCGATTCAGGCGAGATTTGGGTCAGGCATCAGACGTCCAGTGAAAGTTTCAAGCTGTACAATTATAGTCCATTTCTCTCAACCGATGAATCAAGGTGTTGTTTTCATAGTAAATTAAGTAAAAGCATTGGTCTGAATAGGTTTCAAACACCATTTCTCTTTCTTTTTCGTCAGGTCATACCCACATCCACACATGAAAAGTGCAGTCAGAACATTCTAGTCAAGATTTTGATGAAAAATTTAAAACATCCCATAGATCTACTTCAAAGTGGTGTAGTGCTGTTAATTGTACCAATTCCAAAATTAACTGCCATGATTTGGCCTTCTTTTCCTTCCCCAAGGATCCTTAAGGTGAGTTAATTTGATTGGCGTTGCACGGTTTAATCAGAAATCACTTGCCATTGTCACCACATGGTTCGAGCTAGTTCTTAAGTATTGGTTATTATAATTTTACAAAACATGCTCTCGCTGTTTTTAACAACGATGATTATAAAACAATAGAGGAAAGAAGGTTGGCTTTATGTTGGTAATCCCTATGAAGATGTAGTTATGACGGAATATCAGGTTCATGATGAAGTAATTGTGAAGATGGAGATGATGGCAGTGATAGTGGTAGTGTCTCTCCCTGAAAATGGCATTAGTAAATCAAGTAAGGGGATTGGTCTGCCAGGCTCCTTTTTCATCTTGGCGAAGCAATATCCCTACATAAATGATGGTGGACTCACGATACCATCTAGTGTACTTCAACATAGCCTGCAAAGCGCGGAAACCGCTTTAGAGATAGCATCAACTCTCTAGGCGTTGCCACAGACGTGAGGTTCAGACTAGTCAAGAAGATGATCGACGCCACCCAGGAGATATCTTTTGACTGCCGGAGCGATAGGAAGTGCCCGCTGAAGTCCCTGTCCAATAACCTCTTCACTACCATCAGACTTCATCATTTTTTTAGGTGCCTCAACCGAGACTCAGACTCTGGAGGCTACAAATTGGCTGTGAGAAGGCTTCGCACATGTATAAAGAACAGTAAAATCAAGTCCTCTCTTATTTTGTTATATCAAATTAACAAATTAATGTTATATTACTACTGTCAAAGTTCCAATAAATACTGTGTGTTTCCTCTTTGTCAGTAGATCTATAATGAATAGGCCTGTCTGTTGGTCACATCCCTTATCCTTATTCCTGGCCTGCATCCCATTGCATTAGTGCACACAATACACCAAATCTTTTCTATTCATCTACTTCTTTTTCTTCTTCATTTTCTTCTTGTTCTTCTTGTTCTTCTTCTTTTTCTTCCTTCCCTGGAGCATCTACATTTGATGAATTTATTAATTAAACACGCATTTATTGATCAACCTCAGTTTAGTTTTAGTAAGAGTTTTATGGCACTTGCAACACAAAAAGGTCATATAAGTGCCGAAGAATAGATTCCGTGTTACAAGAGAGTAACATACACGAAAAAGAAGGAAGGGAGATAAAAATGACAGATGTTTGATAGGAAAGAAGGAGCCAACCACCCACTGATCAACCTCACCACACACCACTACTTAAGGCATATTATTAACTGAGATATGACTCCTCCCTCTGTCTCTGGTATTAACTATAGGACATAACAAGGGGGAGTGACTTCGAGAGAAACAGACCATAAAATGTACATTGTGAAACAGTTACTAGGAACTGAGTCTCTGATGGTGCGAATAGGGGCCAGCTGACGAGTGAAATATCTCTCATTAGTCATCTCCAGTCAAATCATGGATGTATGTCATTTCTAATTATAAGGTACAAAAGTGTTAGGGCCTCATCTAATTGTGACACAGGCTCTAGAAATGAGAAATCTTAATCTGAAAAATCATAATATACACTGCTTCCCACATCAAATACTCTGCAACTCTTGCAATCAAGACTTGACTCTAACCTCTTCAATCAAGCACACAGCAAGAGAGCAACAAAACAGAAGAACAAGTAGGTACCAGAAACTAAATTTTCAAAGTAGCTGTATGCCAAATTTATCTGTTCCATTTAAAAGGCCTATATCCACTGAGCATTTTGGTATCATTCTTTAACCTCTCAGTCAATTTTAAAGAAAATGGTAGTTGCTTAAAATTTGGTAAAATTTGTTAAAGTCAGTCACTGGCTGCAACCCCATGTTTGACAGACATTAAAAGAGTACCAAGTGCACTAAACATCTCCACATTAACAGAGTACAATCACTATAACAAATATATGGAGCCTAATTTTTTTCAAGACTGTGAGATCATTACAAATCAGTATTTTATCACTTCAAACACGATGATCTGTCGTTATTTCGACAAAAACAGAGCGAGTCGGCTTATACTGTAGTGTACCCCGTGTGCGGGGTCACATGCTTTCTGAGTCTCGCGGAAGGATTGATGTTAAATAATTCCAAGCTGATTACTTTATTCTAATAGAAAATAAACTGATCTTTTTATTAAAACATTTTTTAAGCCGGTATTTTACATATATTTGGTGTAAAAAATGATCTTTAAACATTTTGACAGCATTTTTAAAAGCTTTCTATTTAAATGCCGAAGGCCAAATATATATCACGGGAAAGCCCGTTTAGAGCTCTACAGTTCTCCGCCAATGAAAAGACGGTATTCAATCATCGCTCATTCCGCGAAGCATATGAATGCACGCGTTTCAATTTTTTAACCGGCCGACCACGCATTCCGACCGCGAGGGGCTTCGCTTTCGTTGGCGATTCTCCAGCTCCTAATAATCGGACATATAAACAACTTACACCATTGTAACGAGGAAAAGCTGAACTTTTACAAGGTGTACGGCATTTGGTGTTTTATAGCGAAAGAGCAAAGAAACAGCGATCGGAATTACCCTGATTTCACCGATACCACGCGGTCGGAAGGCCGCGACTGCCCGCGAGGCCATGTTTACGCTACCTAGAACAAGTCTCTTTCACAAGTCCATAGGGCTGAGGTAACATTTGAGCCTCAGGCACCTCCCAAGAACAAGTGACCACTAGACCAAAAATTGAGGGCGCAGAAGTCTACCACAGACGGGAAGAAAGGGAGTGAACAGACAAGTTTTTTTGTTTTTTTAATAATTATTATACTTTCATGAACCATTAGACCTCTACGGTTGGCTTTTCTATTTTCCTCACCTTTGCAAACTTGAAAAAAGGCCTGGGATCACTTCTGAAGAAATGAATATCAAACATCGCCTGAGGATCTGGAAGATTCGGGAAATCTTTTGCAAGCCTGGAGTACACTCCATCCCGGGAGCGGAAATCCGGAATCCCGCAGGACACAGACACCTGTGACCACAAGATGATATCATACCACTCAGTCATGAACTAGATTAAATCCTTTAAAGCTAGTAATGCATAGTTCTTTAATCTCTGCTTTTGAACTGCACATTTCATTTCTGCATGGGAGAAAAAATCAACCCTACCATGACAATGAATATTGCTCTTAGAACAAGCTCATGTTTACTCTAACTGGTCACAAGTATGCAAGTGCACTAGATCAAATCTAAGAATAAATTAAGAATATAATACCAGAAAAAAACCCTACAAAACTGCCAATGACAACAAATTGAATTCATATATGTCTTATAATGAAATACAACATTGAAAGTATTTTTAAGAATTTGGTGTTCTCTGTTCACAAACAGTAAATGAAACAATGGCTCAAACATTCACAGAAACAGCATACCCCAGCTCCAGTCAATACAACGATCTTTTTGCAAGTCCTTAGAAGCCCGAGCACATCATCCAGAGTATTGATGTTGGGAAGCTTTTTGCGCTTTGGTGGTTCTGACACGATGTTGATGATTATTTTCCAAAGCATAATCGGGTCAAGACCATCAGGAATCATCGTACCAGAGGGAACAAGCTCTTCCAAAATCTTCCTTGGACTCTTTCCTTGGCGCATTTGATCTTGAACCCAAGAAATAGGACCTGTACAAAGATTAAAGAAATTTCAATAAATCAGTCCCTGCTACTGTCACTTCACACATTTCTCTCCCTCAACTTTATTTCAAGGGACCACTGATCGGCCTGCAGCACGGATCATTACATGTTTATTGTGTACCACACACTGCACACTATGACTGACCTATCAGAGACACACAGTCAATTTATAAGATCAATCAAAAGTCTCTTTCACAAATCCTATTAACTCATTCGCTAGGCCAAGCCATGGGCAGCGGCACGGCTAAAGTGACTTCACTATGGCAAGCCGCCCCCGAAGGCCCAAGAACCGACCTATAATTTTAGCTCAAATTTTAATCCAATCCACATATCCATGTTAAAATCGAGGTTATAATACGGTGACATCCGGGTCAAGCATTTCCACCAAAAATCGGAAGTTTTGATTCAGTGTTGAAACACGAATTCGATGTTAGTTTATGTGACGTTTTATAGCGATGCCCAAAATATAGCATAGACACCAGTCTCAGTACTTTTAAACAACAAAATGTATCATTATTTTGCTTACTAAAGAAAAGTAGGACTCTTCTTTAGAATATTGATACTATATTTGTAAAATGGACTCGAATTGCCATTGCTCTGTTATTGAGAAATCAATATTTTTCAGTGCTAGACTCTAGACCTAGATCTAAATTGTCAAAATATTTTTCCTCCCAAAATCACCAGCCGAATTTTTGGTGAAATTACACAAAAAGTACCACTCAACACATGTGCGGGTTTATTTCAAACGCAATTCTGAACAATTCCATGATGTAAGATACATGTGTTACTTTCTGTTTGTGAATGCATCTCATCCTTTTTTCAAGATCATAAACGTTTTGTTTTTTTTCATCGGATGTTAGGCTAGAGTAGAGGAGGTAGTCAGCGCTACCCTAAGCATAAAAAGTGACCTTGCGAGTCCCCGGTGAAAGGGGAGGTAACCGCACAATAACTGATGAGAAGAAAATTTCGTCTGCTATCGTTGGCCCAGCGCGCTATGCCTGCTTTGTTTGCCTGTCTCCCTCAGTAGTGGTATTTATGAGGCAAAGTGAGGGCGGGTATGTGCGGCAATGAGCGGGGGTGCGTGTACTTGCTTGAGGGTGGCGCGTTTTATGGAGGGGCTGCGTGCTAGGGTAGGGCGGGTCTTGCAACATGTCCTAATAACTTCTAAATTTGAATCTTATAGGCTAACGTATGATTTTCTAACCACAAAGCTGGAAATATTCTTACAAATTGCTCAAGAGTTAAGAGTTACAAAAGACACTCAGTTTTTATGTATAGCCAAAAGAGAAAGAAAACTAAAAATAACTGAAGCCAACACTTACAATGGAAACAGTAATCTATTAGTGAGTCTAGATAACTCTGAAAACCATTAATTAAATTACATAAAAACAGCAAAGTAGAGACATGTGGATCTAATTGCACATGGATAAACAAAGATATTGTTTACACTATTTGTATGAAAAAAATTGGGAAGGAGAGATTAGTCAGCACAGCAAAAGAGCTCAATGTCCATGGCATCCAGGTCTTCCTGAGTCGTGTCACAAAGCATGCACTGGGTGAGCACTACTTATCCTGTAGTGGTGGCTCCACACCCAGCACAGTCAACCGTAATGTCCCCACCATCGGAGCTGTTGTCGTAGGGCTCTTCTCCTGAGTCAGAGGCCACAACCAAAGCATTCATCTTCTTCTCTTGAATTCTCCTTTTCTTCTCCTCCTCTTTCTCCTTCTTTGCCTTCTCCCTTTGTTTTTTCTTCTCTTTTTGGCTTTCCTTCTTGTCTTTTGCTTGTGCTAGCTGTTCCATCTTTCTCTGCTCCCTTTGCTTCTTTCTCTCTCCCTTCTGCTGTTGTTCTTCTTCTGCCTTCCTCTTCTTTGTGAGTATCATCTCTTTATAGTCATTTTTCCACTGATGGACGGGGTACTGTTGGTTGGGGCCTTCTAACGCCCTTGTTCTTTGAACAGGACGGAAATGTGAGTACCTTGTCGATGGTCATCTCCCCGGAGGAGGGCTGAGGTTCCAGGGCTCTTGCTGATGGCTGGGGGAGTGGAGGAGCCAGTTGTTCAATATTGTCCATCAGGCAGGACCATATGTTGTAGTTGGGGTCGATCTTGAGGTCCTATCCATTGTCATACCTCTTGAGGTACAGGTCCACCTTCTCCTCCCCAAGCTTAAAGTTCAAGGAGAATATTTCCTTGAGTCGCTGATGGCGAGTTTGTGACGTTGTGGATGGTTCAGAAGCAGAAGAGGTGGATGGGGCTGAGGCAGACGGGGTGGATGACAAGTGGATGGTAGGGGCAGGGGACCCTATGAAGGTGCAGCTGGGTTCAGCTTGTCACTTGTGAGGACAACGTCAGGGTTGTAGGGAAACAGCCCTTACTTGGTGAATCCCCTCAGGGCCGTTTTTAGCCGAGCTACTGTTGTCCAGACCTTCAATTCAGGACGCCGGCAAACGTCCTCAGTGTGGCGGATTTTGTGGTGTCCCTCACAAACTTCCTTACCCCCTCTCGCCACGCTGGCTTAATAATGGCCCCGAAAAATGCCTGGTCCAGAGGCTGTGTCAGGTGGCTGGTGTGGGCCTTGATGCAATTTAATATTGCCCCGTTCTCGCTGCAGAAGTCTGAGACGCAATACCCCGCCTTACCAGACGCCATGGCGGAACTGCGCGCCAACCCCCATCCATCCCCTCTGAGAGGCTGAGCGGCTCCGTGCTTTGCTTAGTACTGATGCTACACGCACAACACACTGCTTTGTGTGTAGTACAAGTATACACATCTTCATAAAATGCATTGACAGCCTTACAACTGCAGGCCGATGCACTGTTAGAATACTTAATCAGCAAACCTGGAAATAATTTGCCTCTGTGTACGTGCAATAAGCTGTCCCCGTAGAATTACGCGATTGTGCAGCCGCACCGCGGCCGCGTTTTTTCGCGTAATTGTGAAACATTTGCTTAATTTTGGATACCCCGCGTTTTTTCACTTTTTTTCCACAAAACAATTAATTATCGCCTCGACATGTGACTAAAGGGAAATAATCACCGTAATATAAGTCTCATTTAAGTGAAAAGTCGGTTGTTTCCCTTGTTAGAAGATCTTGGTTATGGGTCCCTTGAGCATGTTCAATTTTTTAATCCATCAAAAGTTGTTGTTCTCAAGTCTGCTGATGATTCATGTTTGACAGGTGTCCTCGGTTTTAGTAATGTGCCAGCATCAGAGGTCCAGATGTCCCTTTTTTTTCTTTTTACATTTTTCTTTCCTCTATAGATCTAGATCTAGATCTACAGCTGAAAATTACAGAGATTATATTATTTGGTTGTTTTTTTCTTACTGACTTGTATTGTTTTCTTTCCAAATACACAACAAATTATTGATACTCCGTAAAAAAATTTTCTGTACATAAAACATGAAAATCAGGAAAATTTGTGTAGAAAAAGTGCAAAACATGTCGCGAATGGTGTTAGAGTAACTTGCATAATTTTTGCATAATTTGGCTTTTTTTTGCATAATTTGGCCATCTAAATTTGCATAATTTGGCCATCTAAATTTGCATAATTCTACGGGAACAGAATAAGCGACCACGGTGACCTGCCAATAATCTTGTGCTACAAGAAAGGGTGCTGCCGGATGTTGATAAACACGGGAACGCTCTAGCATGTTTAAATTGGTTCATACTACAGGTTGTCGCGCTGACCCCTCTATCGCACAACGCCGCCGCTACTCTATGATCAAAATGCCAAAAGTACAAATACTGCAAATTTTTCAACATTTTCCAGTTTTATTCATTTATGGTTATTTTGATGTTTCATTTGACTAGGTGCAAACATATTTTTTTTAGTTTCACCAAAGATGATTGATTTTTTATTTTCAAATTTTATCTGCATCCAAGCAAAATTATGTTGCATAATCACCTCTTACAGGAACCAAAGTTGAAAAATACACATATAAACATTACAGATGTATTCTACAAATCATACTAAAAATTTTGGTATGTGTTGATATTTATTTAATTTGGTGGCCCCAAAGACCTTTAAACAGCACACCAGTCACCATCTCATTTCGACCACCAGAAAAAAATTTGTTCACAAGCTCAAAATAATACGTAGCGAACGAGTTAAGGACATCTGCACTAAACATGTGAGCTGCCATGTTTTGGGGTCTTGACAGGTCAGATGGACGTAGCGAACGAGTTAAGGACATCTGCACTAAACATGTGAGCTGCCATGTTTTGGGGTCTTGACAGGTCAGATGGGCGGCCACAACTCATACTATGAGCATGGTGTTGGGGAGGGGGGGGGGGGGGGATTTTAGCCTGACAGGCATGGAACGTCAGCAGAGGTTGTTTGTTCCTACGAGGATGTGCTGTAAGGAGCTGAACATCCCATTATATTGGAATGACAGGGTATAAAACAGGATGTTGCACAGAGGGTGCGAGGATGACCAAACCTCACAATGTAATGCGGAAAGCATAAAAACATCCCTCAAAACACGTACTAGCGTAAGCCACATTTTGTTAGTTTTGCAGGAGAGACGTTTAAAGATTTGGGCGATTTTCACCATCCCATTAAGGCGTCAAATTGCCGACCCTGCCCTTAATATTTTGACATAACATGTGTGGGCCAACTACTTTTCAATTGGCTAGAAGCATCTTTGTGAGATTAGTAGGTTTAGAAGGAAAAATGACCTTTTGTCCGATACGCTAGTACGTGCTACATCAATGAAAGCCTCAATGTGTGGCTTACGTTACTAGATTGTTGGATACGTTAGTAGGTGCTTTTGTATTCTAAAGCATAATGTGTTCATTGCGTGGCTTACGCCTAAATTGTAACTTCCAAATAACAATAAAAATACAAAGAAAGATCGATTTGGTTAAAAATTCAAGGGCTGTATTATCCGTAACTTAACAACAACTCGGAATATACAGATGCCAACTGTACATGATAAAAAATCAACTTAAAATTAAATAATCACTGCAGCTATCTACTGCTTAAACAAACATTTCATTATGGACTATTCTTTACAGAAAATGTTATTATTATGTACCTACTCACATTTGTGAAACACTATCCTTTTTAATATGGGAAGCAGTACTTTACTAAAAACAAAACAAGCTACAAAAAACTTGAGCTAGTATGTGCTCACTAAATTTTCAAATTTGCAAAAACAAATAATAAAGAATTCAGGGAACATTTCTACTAGAGTTAGAGCTCCACTTAGGCTTATTGGGAACATGATCTTGCTGTAGAGATGTAAATTCAATTACATATTTCAAAGACTAATAAGCAGTAACTCAGAAATAGAGAAGAAAATGTGAAATCAAATACATTTTGTGTCATTACTTGACTGCCATATACTTAAGCTGGAGTTGCACCTTAGCTAACAAAGTAGAATAGCTTCGTCCCAAAGGAAACCTTCGCAGCCAACTACTCATGGGGCAAGGAAAGATAAAATGCTTTGTGCTCTTCCAGTTTAATTACTGGTGTGGGACCAGAACAGAGTGAAACCAAATCAGTGAATTTTTCTCTCGAAATGTTTGTTGGCCCTGAGTTCAGTTTCTGAAGTGCAAAGTCCTTTACACTATTCTTCAGTCTCTTGAGGGACAGGGTTTTGAATGAACAGTCAAAGTGGCTCGTCTTGTAGAAGACTTTATCTGGCTGTTCTTTAGTGACTCGCAGTTCCATGATATTGTTCCATGAAAATGTGTCTTCCGTATCAGATCGTGCGTCCAGGATTCTCAAGTCCTTTGATAAGCCTTTGAGATCCAGAAAGTCTTTAGACTGCATCTGATTCACCAGGTGAGGCTTTTGACTTCGAGTGAGAGACACCACTGTTACTATCTGAGAAGGAAGGAACAAATCCCCAGCCCTCTTCAGGGCATGTCCTATTGCACTGTGTACAGAATCACCCTCGTTCTGACCATGGTTTGTTTCAGAGAACCTCAATGAAATCTCTTCAAGATTCACACTATTGTTCACAGCATACAACATCATCGAAGGCGTAATCGAATTTTTGTTCTGGCCACTGCATCCAATGGCAAAAAGAAAAGCTTTTTTGATGCCACGGTCGTCATAAAATGTCAGGGCAAGGTGGACTGTAGTTGAAATTTCAGAGGGTTCACGTTTGCTTTGCGTTTCATCCCAAGTGAAGCAGTGACAATCTCTGTTAGCAATGTTATAGAAAGTCCGGTTGTAGTTCGACAATCATCTTTTGTAAAAGATGGCTCTGTCCTGAGACATAGGGGGGTAAACGACCTGCTGCAAATCAAAACTTGCACAGAGAATGTTTTCACTTTCCTGAGCTTCTTTCTTGCGTAGATCCTTTATTTCCCTGACCTTTTCTTTTTCTCCCACATGGATCTCAAACTTTCCCCTAAGACCAATCTTTGTTTCTTCATTTCCTTGGTGATAATTGACACAAAGAGAGCACTGGTCTTTCTTGGGCTGGTGGATTTTTACTTTTAAATACATCGTTTTATGTAGTGAAGCTTGATGGCCTTGTCCTGGGTATCCATTCCTGGATGAACATGTGGTACATGCTTGTGTACTCTTGTCCCAAATTCCTCTTCATTTTGGCTTCCTTCTATTTGTTTGATCTGAGTTTCTTTTCCTTTCTGACTTCTTTCTGACTTTCCTCCACTGTGTACTGCTCGGGAACTGATCTTTGCATTCTTCCACCCCACTCATCAATGACTGTTTCCTTTGTCTGAAATTGATCGGGAGCATCAGTGTTCATATTTACACCAGCGGGAATCTTAGACTGTGAGGGCCTACCTACAACTTTTACATGTTGTTGATTTTTTCCTTTGACCTTCTTGTGCTTTTTTTCATGTTGAACACACGATGCAATCTCTTCATTGAAATGATCAAAGCAAAGAAGGATTTCACAATCAGGACAAGCCACCCATACTTCAGCATTGCACCTTTTGACCTCGCATGTTCCAGGATTGAATTCCGGATCGCCAAATGAGTCGTAGCCACACACTGACATTTCATCACTGTCTGCCTCAATAAGCAAATCAATGTCCTTGAAGCACATACGTGCATCTATTTGTCCCTTAAAGTTCTCAGTGGCAGTAGGACACCCATGACTTTCTGCAGTCTGTAAGCTTAAGACTTCACCACGGTTCTGAATGTCAATCAGAGTTTGAACAGTAGGGCTACATGTCAAAAAAAGAGTGGTTGTTCAGAGCGGGATCCCATTTGTAAACGAAGGACGAATAAAAAGGGACTTCAAGAAGTGGAGTCTGAGCCTTCATTGTCTCACACGAAGCACACTGCTCACGTGTGTAGTTTAGCTTGTCTTCCTGCTCTCTAGAAGCGCTGCACGATGTTTTTTTGCCATAGGCTCAGTCCTGGCTGTGTGGGTTACGTTAGTATGTGCCATATAATAAAAACACAACAATGGGTCAAAGTGTACATCACGCACTAGCGTAACCAACAGTGTGTTAGTACGTGCTGTATCTTTTTGTGGGCAAATGGGATACGTTCAAACTGGAATCGACTATATCTCAGCTATTTATTGCTCGATTTCTACCATCTTTTGAGAGGATGTAGTATCAGATAAAGGGAATCGAGTGATTGCTCTAACTCGATTTCGGGTCAGATGTGGCTTACGCTAGTACGTGTTTAGAGGGACAAAAATAGTACATGATGTAACTTAACTAAACTTTCAAAAAAGTCAACAAAACCCTCAGCAAACAAAAAATGTAACAAAAATAGTTTCACCTTCATGTTCTAAATATTAATGTCTTGATTCAATTCATACACAAGCCCAGCTGCCATGTCAATAAAAGTAATGCTTTAACAGTTGGATGACAAAGAGTAGAGATTTACCTTGTACAGGTTGCCATGACTCTTGGCTTAAATCTGAGAAATCGCTGATTTCACTTGTGTTATCCATTGCATCATCAAAATTGTCTGAACAGTCAATTTTCTGAAAACAAATAGTCAACAATGAGTTGGTACAAAACAAAAGTTTTAAAAAGAACAAAACTCACTGAAAAACTAAAAGCTTAATACACAGACCCTTATTGGTAGTACAAAATTTATTTTGGCCTCAATAATATCTATGGGACTCATCAAGCACTAGAATGAAACAACCTCATATTTCATCCACATCATTTAAGCGTGAGTTATATTTTATCAACATTCAATAATTTTAGCCCGCAAGTCTATGAGCTCACATTCAAAACTTGCTCCCACTTCCCACTCTTTCATTCCAGACTACCACTCAAGTGACATTTTTGGTTCAGCAATTTAATGGATCGCCATTTAAAAGTGGCATTTTGAGGGTACTAATTTCGTCAGCCCCAATATAATCCACACCCTGGTCCTGTACATTTTCTACTTATTTTCACTCATATTAACATTCTCTGTTCCAATTACAAACACTTTGAGTGCTCAAAGAAACAAATCCTTCAATATTTACTAAATTATTGCCATTTTGAAGGTTACACCTTTCACCGCCTGGGTGCATAAAAGTGTGAGATGCCTTCTATACTGAAAGAATTATAAAAGATTTGAACAGCATGCAACTTCAGAAAATACCTGATTACTGTGCTCCTTGAAACAAGCATGGTCCTGGTTACTCTGAGAAGAAACACCTGGAAGCAAAAAAAAACAAAAACAATATTGTTCGACTTTTCATTTCATGTCAAAATTCTTGAATTCATTATGAAATCAAAACAGGAACAATGATGGGGTAACCTTATCACAAAAGAAAAAACATACAATCCCCCTCAACCACAGAACAACGAAAGTGGTCCTAATTGTCACAAATTTTTCGAAATCCTTATTTCATAGAATCTATATTTTTATCCAAATTGATTTTGATAACAAAATTAACTTCACAGAAACTTGTTATGCTGGGTTGTTTTTTTTTACAATTTACATCATTTAAGTGACGGGCTCCAACCCTGCCATTCAGGGCCAACCGGGGCTGAGAGGGGCACAACATCCCAGACAAAGATATTCAACAAAAATTTTCTCCACTCCGGAATCAAACTTGTGCCACTCGTGTGATGCTTGAAGCACTTTTAACCGCTACACCACAGACGCTGGTCAGATTGTAGTATATATATCCTCTAATAAAATGCTATTTCGTAAAGCAAAACATACCTTCAGAAGATTCTGCAAGACCATTACCATCTTTCAGCTTGAAGTCTAGATCTGGTTCCCTCGAAGGACATGGTTTTACTTCTGGGCACTGAGCATATGTGGATGACACTGATGGGGATTCCACAGAGCTGCCATGAGCTTGACCCTCGACAGAACTATTTCTTGCTTCTGATACATTAGGTTGTTCCACTGATGCCGAGTCTGGCTCCAGTGCTGATGCATCAGGGTCACGCTCCATAGCAAAAATAAGCGTTGGTTTTTTCCTCCCTGTACATAAACAAAGTAAGTTAAACAAAAGAAGATCAATGTGCTCATTTAGTCGCAAGGTGTGTTCAATGTACAGTACAGAAGGATAAAGGCAGTGAACGGTCATGTTCTTGTCATGTAAATATCTGCTTTCTTTGATGAAGTTGGACACCACAAGACTAAAAAGGTCCAACTTCATCAAAGAAAGCAGAAAAATCCAAAGATCCCTACAGGACCATCTGCTAGCCACAGTGAACATGCTGAACCATACCCCAGAGGCACCATCATGGGAAAAGACAAACACAGACATAATTATACACACACACGTCCATTCCTATGTTCACCACAAAAGAATTACCACAGCGACCTGAGCAAGAAGTCCCTCACCCTGTCCATGCTTGAACAAAGTCAAAGATACCCACGAGAAGCATGGATAAGAATCTATACAGACGGATCTGCCACTGATGCTGTGAAAAGAGGAGGAGCCGCAGTGTCATACAATTCCCAAATGGACGATGACAAGCAGAGGCAGCCCCAACAGGGCGACATTTTGTACAAACTACAGGGCAGAGACGGAGGCTCTTTATATACGGGCCGACAGATGAACTGAGCAGGACGGCCCAATTTATAACAGATACCAGACTTCAAGTGTAATGCGATCGAGAAGAAGAAGAAAAAGATGTAAATATCAATGAGCAGCTTCATGTCATGTTCATTGTCCATAATCTAAGAATAATTCTTCTTTGAGTCGAACTGTAAACTAGCATGATAGATCAGATAAATTCATAATCACCCTTGCTCAGTTCAAACAAGTTGACTTGCCAAGCCAAGAAGAGTTTTCTTATTCTCAAAATCCTACAATAAAAATGGTGCTGAGCTTGCACTCCCGCTGGCTTCTGAACTTTTTTTCGTAACTGGTACCTCTCTAAAGCCCGGCCATGTACAAAAATGTACTGGAATCTGATATCATCCTTCAGAGGAAAGAGGTAATGGAAGATACTTGTTTTTTAAAAAAACATAGTCACTTTTTGAAAATATGGCTACACCCCTGGTTTTCTGGTAGGAAAGATCTACCCCTAGCCTTCTCGGACAAGGGCGAAAAATCTCGGAGGTCCCGCGTACAAGATGTGCACGTTAAAGATCCCCTGGCAGTCTAAAATCGATAAGAGTAGGCTTCAGTTGCCACCCGGTCAAAATTCAAAAAAATTTCCTACAAACTGAAAATGTTTAATGTGTCCCGCGCACTCATGACCTTTATTTATGTAGTTGCAAGCACAGTAAAATACTTACAAAAACAAAGTGATTATTGGGAGTCCATTCACTATATCATTTGTCATTAATTAGGATTCAACTCCCATCACTTGACGCTATTAGGAGTCAGAGATTACATCCGACCTAGTTATATGACCAAATTACTGTGGTTAGCGCATTTTTAGGTGTAGGGTTGGGGATGGCGGTCTCTTCTTTATTGTGCTTGTTGAGGGTCAGGGGTAGAGGTAAGGGTAGGGATAGGTTTGGGGTGGTGGTAGGAGTTTGGTTAAGGTCAGGTCTCTTCTTTATTGTGTTTGTTGAGGCAGCCGCTTGTTACGGAAGTCCTTCTTATTATTATGAGACAATACATGGGGGGACGAGGGTGTGTAATTTCTGCGATCATAGGTCAGTGATTAGTTTGTTTTTGGTTGTTCTTTTCTTTGGGGGGGGGGGGAGGTTAATGGGGGCTCGCCCCCCCTTGATCAGCTGCAATCTTTATTTATGGGTAATGGGGGGGGGGGGGGGGGTGCTACCGTGCTTGCCCCCCTGATTAAGGTAGGATTTAGGGTTAGATTTTTTTCTTTTTTCTTTTTTTTTATTCGTTCAAAAACACATGCGATATGAAATCGTTATTTTTGTTTTTCCACTTCATCCCTTGCCCCGACATGAGCGCATGAAAAAAAAAAAAAAACGTAGACCGATACAGAGCCGCGCTTGTCCACGGTGGCAATTCAAACTACGAAAGTCTTCCCTTTCATTAGTTTCATGCAAGTGAGGTTGTATACCCGACTCAGAAAATAAAAATTTACTTTTGTTTTTGTTTTTTTAAGCCGATCGCCTCAGCTTTCAAAATTTTGCGAAGGAACCTCGACAAAACCCTTTTAAGTTAAAAAATAATTACATATTTGTTTTCAGGGTTATTTTGATCAAAATTGGGTAATCCTTACCATCTACAATCCCTACAACTTTGTTAACCCTATCGTACGCTGTGGGGTCATTTTGAACCCATGGGGTTGTTGTATTCTTTACATTTTAGAATACTTCTAGTACGAAGATCTCTTTGAAACTTTCAGTATTTCTCAAAAAATTATTTTGACAGACTGCTATGCAAAGCGAACGGATCAGATTAACGAGTAAACTTACTCTTTGAAAGTGGCGGCACAGAGTTCCCCACGTCTTATGGATACTATAGTATAATAGTATTGTAAAACATGACGTACGGATATTTATATAAGGATAATATTCTGCCATGATGAACACCAGAGACTTCCGGATGAATGCCAGATTGGTGCATGACGTCCTTTCGATGTTTCATTTTCTCACATTACTTCATTACATTTTTATTAGTAAAATATCAATTACTCTGACTGTGATAGGACTTTCCTTACTTTACGGCACTGGATACCACTGTGACAAGTGGAAAACTACGTTGTTAAATGTGTCTTGTGGAATTCTACCATGTAACTCTCTCCACATGAATTTTTTTTTTTTCTTTTGGGGGGGTAAGTGTTTTACAGCGTTCGCAACTACATAAGGTAATATGAGCGTGCGTTTATTTTGCGCGGGTGGCGGCTGAAGCCTACCCTTATCGATTTTGGACCACAAAGATTTATTTTTTTTTGCATGTAAAGTAAACATTTAACTCACGCACATTCAAAAAGACAAACACAGAGTGACCATGATTATTGCTATGATTGAATGCTAACAATTTTTAATTAACTGAAGGTTTCAGTGTAACAGCAAGAAATAAATAATATTGACTAAAATTAGAGTTGTGTCCATTTGGAGAGGCGGTGGTGGTGGTTGGGCCAAACAAAAATAAAATAAAGTTGACAAACCAAAAGAGGTCAATTCCGACTGTAATACACAAAGAAAATCAGACCTACCACTTTAGGAAATCTAAAAGTCAGGACCTCAGAGAGGGGAAAAGAAAAAAATCGGGATCAACAACAAATCACCCAGGTCACAGCCAAACTGACTTTTAAAATTTCGAGGGGTGTTCATACATATTCATGTATGTTCCCTCTGCGCGCGCGCGTGCGTGCGCGCGTGCGTGCGTGTGTGCGTGCGTGCGTGCGTGCGTGTGTGTGTGTGTGCGGGTGCGTAAGCGTCCCTGTACTGTGTGTGTTTTATCATAATTCTTTTAAAAATACTAAAGTATCACGACACCAGGGCTGCGCTTTACTCACAAATGTGCATATATTACGCATTAAACCTGCAGATTACCCCCTTTAAGTTTTGGTTGTGCGTGAGCTTTACTCTTCATAATTTCAAGTCGGGGGGGGGTTTGCATGTCACGCTTTAAACATAGGTGTTGTGCATCTGGCAAGCATCATTTCCCCCCTTCTCTTTCCCAAAGCCGAGTCAATGATTTGACAACACACCCACACACATGCACGACAGTCACCTTCTGTGTCAGATGAAGTCGACTAGTCGACCTACTTATCAGCAGCGCGCAGTTTCCGGCAACACAGGCTTGCTTCAGCACAGAAGCTCCGCCTACATTCAAGTCGTTCACATTTGCCGGTGCCGTGCCTTGAGTTTACCGCTGCCGTGAGATTACCCCCATCCTTCTTTAAAAACACACTAGTAAACATGAATTGTCCACCATCGAAAGTGTGGAAAGACTGGAATGTGAACCCTGAGATGACTCTGAAGAATAATGAATCAGTTAATTTTTCCAAACCTGCCACTCATCCCTGCCCTAAATTTCAAGCATCCCTATTTTCCCGATTTTGATCGCATCGTTTGTTTGTTTTTTTGTTCCGTCTGTTGTGCCGGATTATTCTAAACTTTTATTCTGCCTTCTTTTCTGTTGTGGAAAGCACTCGTTATACTTTTTGTAGGCAGAAACTCAGAGCAATGTCTATATCGAATTTAGTAGTTGACTCACCAAAAATTGTGTTGGATCTTTGCTCACATGTGTTATTTCAACTACAATGGATTGGAACTGGAAGTAATACATGTTTTGATTTGGCATTCCGATTTATGACATTCCCAAGGTCTACTTTTGCCAAAACATGCTTTGTCCGAGTTCTGGTTAGTCGAGCCCGTCATCAAGACCCTTCAGTAAAACTGTCTCAATTGCGCATTCGCACCATGACCATGTGACATGACTTCGGCGTTTGAGTTCAGCGTGTGTTGGGGACCGTCGTTGACGGAGTCAATTTAAGTTCATGCACACCGGTAGAAGCGTCTTTTGGAACTTTGGAGGGGGGGGGGGGGGGGGGCGTGTAAAACACTTGGACTAGGAGACCTTGACATGGTACTTGAGGATTTTAAAAATGTTAAAACTCACACTGGCACGCGCGCGCTCACACACACACACACACACACACACACACACACACACACACACACATGCGCGCGCAGACATACACACACACATACCCCACACACACACGCACGCGTGCAGAGGGAATACATGATATAATAATGGACACCCCTGGAATTTTTTTTAGTCAGCTTGGTAATGACCTTAGCTTAGTGATTTGTCGTTGATCCCGATTTTTTTCACCAAGTCCCAATTTTTTCCCCCACTGAGAACCTGACTTTTAGATTTCATAGAGTGGCAGGTGTATTTTTCTTGGAATATTATAGTCGGAGTTGACCCCTTTTAGTCTGTCAACTTTATTTTATTTTTGATAGACCCAACTGCACTGCTCAACCACCACCACTCTTCCCCACTCCAAATGGACACAACTCTAATTCAAGTCAATATAACTCATTTATTTCTTAAAAGTTAATCAAAATCGTTAGCATTCAATCATAGTCATGGTCACTCTATGTGTGTCTGTGTGAATGTGAATGTGAGTTAAATGTTTGCAAGCAGAAAATCTTACTATAAAACTATGAGGTATTCACTTTTACCCTTTGAGTTTCTAAAACAAGGGTTTAAATCCTCAAAATAGTAAACCAAAGGGTGAAGGAAACTCTTAAATTGGCCTGAAAAGGGGAGCCCTGCGACACGCTCTCCTAGTTTTTAAGTGTTTTACACGCTGTGACGCGCCTCACTCCCCCTGGATAAGTCCCGAAAGGGTCCACATTCCAGTCATTCCAGTCTTTCGATGGCAGACAATTCATGTTTACTACTAGATCTAGTGAGTTAAAGAAGAATGGGGGTAATCTCAGTGCAGGGGTAAACTGAAGGCTTAACACCAGCAAATAAAATGCGAGCGACCAGAATGTGGGCGGAGCTTCTCTGCTAAGCAAGCCGGAGTCGCCGGAAACTGCGGGCAGCTGATAAAAGTAGATAGTACTTTTAGATTCTAGGTCGACTGCTTCTGACACAGAGTCACAGACAAAAGGTGACTGCGGTGTTATGTGTGTGGGTGTGTTGTTAAATCATTGACTCAGCTTCGGGGTAGAGAAGGGGGAAAATGATGATTGCCAGGACGCACACCACCTATGTTTTAAAGCGTATGCAAACCCCCGAAACGAAATTTTAAAGAGTAACGCTCACGCACCACCAAAACTTAACTCATAGACGACGCAAGTTTTTCACCAAAAATTTCCCTGGAGACGTACGATTCTTACCTATTTTTTTAAAAATCAGTGTGATAAACCTACCAACTGCACAGGAATAAAATTTGGCACAAAGTAAGATCATCTTGTATACTTACATAAAATGTATTTATTTTTACAAAAACTTTGAAAAAATTATGTTTTAGGTGAAAAAAAGACATGTAAACGTGGAAAAAAACTTTTTTTTTAATGAGCTAAGCACATGGATCTCAGAATTGATTGTAGTGAATTAGAATGGTTTCAAAAAAGTAATACTAAGTGATTTTATCTATTTATAAAGAATAGTGACATTGCCAGGAGCGTTGTAGTCTCCTGAATCAATAATCCCTAACGCTTCGTTGGTAGCGAAAGGAGCTTCCAGCAGCTCTGTTTCTTGTTTACGTAAAAAGTAGGTCAGGTCAGCGTATTTCGGCAGATTGCTTATAGCAGACAATTCGGGTGACCAATGGTCAAAGGGATACAACCACAATAAAGTTAAATGGTTTAACTAACACTGGGAGACATTCCCCTGAGATTCTATTAGTTTTTAAGTACAAAAAAAATGGTACAATTTGTTGGGTCCCGGGACCCGGCGGGTCTCTCAGAGTATGATGACCTTGCCGGGTCCCGAGACCCGGCACGTCGTCAGTGAGTTAAAGGGGGTAATTTGCAGGTGTAATGCGTAATATATTTATATACGCACATCTGTGCGTAATGGGGAGCCCTGCCTCCACCTCTCTTCCCTTTCCAGTTCCAGTCCCCCCGTCCAGGTTCGGCCCTAATTTTTAACGATCACTTGCTTAGCGGCAAAAGAACTGCAGACCACATCTCTCACTCCCTTTCAAATGAAACATTGATGCAGAGTCAGATTATTAGAAGTCAGTATCAATCAAGTTCAAGATGCCTAACCTAAGGGACATATCACGTGACTGTGATTCCGTGCAAGCGGTGGGAAATCTGAAGGTCACTCTCTCACTGAAGCCGAAGCGAGTAACATCGGCTAACGAAGAACTAGCAGACGACTAGCAGGTGGGGCCCCACCAACATCAACTATCATCTAGAGTCTACTAGTAGATGATATCTAGATCTACTACTCCAAGACTCAAGTAAGTCGTAACATAACATAGAAATGACAATGAAAAATTAAATTTCATCCAAATTGCTTAAAAATGGGCTTAAATGAAAATAGAGTAAATTCTAAGAACTATGGTTTTTAAATTTTAAAAATCCATTGATAAATAAAAAAGTTATTGGGATTTTTGTTTGCAAAATGTTGGAGGACCTTCATTAAATATAGGAAAAAATCGCCAAAATGTGGGACATGTTTTGATGTATTTTGAGGAAAAACTGTTCTCATAAGTCAGTAATGAATTGGAGCATATGAATGAAACTAGGCATCTCCATGTGATTTTCAGTGCCGAATCTAGTTCTGCTATCACTTTTTCGATGTCTTCATTACTTCATTACTTTGGATCTTAAAGACTGATATTTGCGTGAAATTTGTTAAATTGCGTGACATCGTTTTTACCGCGACGCGATCACCCCTTCTAAATCTCAGTAAAGCGCTATCGGGAAAACCCGCGATGTAGTCATCGGTGACCCATTTGGTTATAGGCAGCCAATCACATACCGCCTAGCGATCACGCGCCTCTTGCATGCCGGCACCTTGCGTTTGGAATGCGCGATCAAGTTTCTAGATAGATCTAGTGTTTTATCAATGGATGGGTGGTAATTTTAAGTTGGTACAGAAAATCTACTAAACGCAGAGATCTGAAATTTTACAGCAATAAAGAAGACATGTAGGGCGCTTGTGTGGTTGGCGATCAACCCGCAGCTCCGCTTAGTTTTCGTACCGCAGACGAAATTCACACAAACACGGCAATATCTCCGGTTCTAGTAATCGTTCGGGATTGTACGCTGGCATGTCGTTAGTTTAACCTTTCCTCTGGTTGGTTGCCGAGTTTCATTTATTTTCGTCCAGGAGTTTTCCCGTAACTATACTTAGAAGAGAGTCACTTCTGATTCCGAGCGGCCCAAAAAATACCCCTCGCGCGGAGGCCGATTTCCGGCCTAAGGCGCAGCGGGCGATTGGCATTGCTACATAACAGACATCTAACAATCGTCATGGTATTTCATGTAAACTAGAATTCTAGGGCGTGTGTAACTGTGTCAAAAGTCAAAAGACTGTACTCTCATTGCCAAATGCTCAATGGTAGTGTCTCTAGAGTTCTGTCTTACGGTAGGCTAACGGACAACTCAGACTCAGCATCGACATCCTGCAAAGTTTTCATTGTTTAATTTGGATCTTGAAAATATCACCTCACTAAATTCTAATTACTAGATCTAGATCTATATTCTAGATCTAGATCTGGATCTAGAATCTAGATCTAGATCTACTTCTCAAGTGAGCCAAGCCCAATTCAAGTGCCAGAGTTCTGAGCAGACCTGGACTTTGTCTTTAGACTTTAGAACAGTCCGCCAAGTGCCCCGGGATTGCTGAGTCTGCCGAGTTTGTCGGCTCAGCAGCCGACGTAGATTCCAGTGGTGTTTATTTTTCTGGTCCTCCTGGGGAATTACTTTAACAAAACCCCATGTTCTTAAACTTCTAGAAAAACGCAGACACAACTTCATGAAACAACAAGGAACTCACCGGTTTCCCTCTTTAAAATTATCCTATAGAATTATATCTGGCCTCTAGATCTAGCAGCAAACACGAACGATACTGCACCTCTGCCACTGACAGGAAGGAAAAGTAGTACATCTATTTCACAAACGTACCCGGATGTTATTGGCAATGGATCCTTTATTGTAATAATTACTTCAACTTTTGCTCTTTTTTATACATACACTTCATTTTACACATTCGTAAAGTAACACAGATTTCTCTTAATCTATTACTATTCGTGTGTGTAGCTGTATCTATTAAATTTCTAGCAGAATAAAATAATGCTTAGTTTATCTTCTTAGACATTACACAGAACACCCATAAACTTTTTAAAAAACTAGGCCTAGACGTCTCCTCGCTTGTCCCGAAACAAACCAAAACTATACTTTTAAAGGAACATTCAACACAAACGAACGTAATAATTATGTGTGGCCAAGTATTATCGATGTTATAATTTAGGCAGATAACTTTTACATCAATCCTCTCTTTGGGCAACCCCCCCCCCCCCACAAAAACAAAACCAAACCTGAAAAAGATGTTCTTAACAAGTTAAAGTCCCCAGGACCACCCACCTCCTGTGAGAAAAAGCACGGACTTGACTAACTAGGCTAAACACTAACACTACAGTGAACAGCATGACCATGGAAGTAATGTAAAGTCAAACCTCGCGTTGTACCGCCCACCGTCATACTATAACGTAGGCCTATACTACCACCAGCCCCGCTTACCGCCAGGCCGCCAGGTTTTACAAGTGTACAGAAAGGAACGCCTATATAAACGTACTCGCGTCTTCGTACCGCCATCCGCTAACTGTCTGAGTCGTGCGGTTCTTATTAAAATAATGTAAATTTGCTCTGCCATAATTACGGCAAACTGGTCGCCAGAGTTCAACACTGCACGCGACGTACGCATAATTGCTAGCCTAGCCTACTTGTTGATTGCCTCAATATTGTTATACAATATGTATCTCTCTTTCCTTCGCCATCTCGGCTCATTGGTAAAATATCTGGGGTCGTCAGATATCAGCCTAGCCTATACCTGGAGGACGCTTGTGAGGCTTTTCTTCTTTTTTGTTAGGATTCGCGCTTGAGTCTACGAGACAGGTCTTGCTGGGGCAGCCCGATGACTACCGAGCATTTAAAAAATGACTAATAGCCTAGTTTCTCATCCGGTAGAACTTTTTATTTTGAATTTACGTAAAGTTCAGCTTGGTTTGATTTTGCACACACATACACTCACACACACACACACACACACACACATACACACACATACACACACACACACACACACACACACACACACACACACACACACACACACAAATACACTTAGATCTATATACGCACATACACGTGGTGTACATAGATCTAGCCAGCATCTGCGTTTGTCGCGGGCGCGAATATTTTTGGTATTTTTTGGTCCCCGAATCGCGGCAGTGATTTTTGCATTTTTCAGCCTAAAGAAACTACTACTTCATAGCATATTAGACATATATATATCATGTACATGTATTTTGATGATTTTAAGGTGTCCATGACCCGACAAGGAACTTGAGATAGTGAACAAGTTCTGTTACCTGGGATTTACCATCAGCTCCACTCTAGGCTTTCTCAGGAACTGAGAAAGCCTAGGCTCTACTACATCATTTGATTAAGAGATCAACATCAGGATAAGGAAAGCAGCTACAATATTTGGAAGGCGGACTAAACGAGCATGGGAAAGTCCTCAGCACACTCCGTTATGGATCTGAAACATGGACCTTGTACAGCAGGCAAGAAAAGCGCCTCGACTTTTTCCATCTCAGATACTGACGCAAGATCTTAGGCATTTCGTGGCGTGACAAGGTTACACAAGTCATGTTGAAGTGTTGGCACGGGCAAACCTACAAAGCATGACAACTATCCTGTGTTTAAAAAGATTAGATGGGTGGGCCATGTCAAGAGAATGGACGACAACCGGATCCCGAAGCAACTTCTCTATGGAGAACTTTCCCAGGGAAAGAGACCAAGAGGAAGACCAAAACTAAGGTACAAAGACACTTGTAAAAACAGCTTATCTATGCTTGGAGTGGATGTCAGCATCTGGGAAGAATAGCTGAGGACAGAAAATCATGAAGGAAAATGATAAAGGAAAGAACTATAATGCTAGAGAGCAGCCTTAGAAACAACCAGGCTGAGAAGCACCAACGACGAAAGGAATACAGCGGAAATACAGAGCTTCGATCCACGTCACTGACATGCAAGCACTGCAACAGAATCTGCGCTTCAAACATAGGAAGAATTCGCCGCAAAGAAGCTGCATTAAATCAACATTGAGACCATCTTAAGCTAAATTGACCGTCTGCATAGACGAAAAGAGCCATAAATATATAGTTATTTTCATGCGAAGAAAGTACATTCATGTATGCTATTTATATTGCTGCTTGTCTTTTATTTTCCTTTGTTGAGTTTTACTTTAATATTGCTGGTGTGTTAATTTACTTTTTGTTATTGTTCTGATATGTTGTTTTTATATTTTCTGTGTTTATATATAGCGTATTGTCATTTAGTTTGTTGTTGTTCCTACATTAAAAAAAATATTAATGTGTTATGCTAGAGCGTTATACGTATCTCCACCAAAACCGAATATTGACACTGGCAGGCCCCTTGTGTGTGATTCCATAATTTACCTGTAGGCCTAATATCCTGTACTTTTTCTTGAATTGCACACGTTCAGGGTTAGAACGGTCAATCTTCGTGGTGGAAACACGCCCTTTTGTGTGGTTGTTTATGCACAGTTCTAATGATTTCGTTCTGTTGTGAAACCTTCAGTTTTTACGTTTTAACACTCTATGGGGCTGCAAATGATATTCTGGATGCTTAAAACAGAACATATTGAAATTCTGGTGCTCTAGATTAAGATTAAGTTACATCCATCATATATTGCTAAATATATTATACGTTGTCACAGAGAGTTGGAAGCTTGAAAGTTAATGGAAACTTTCAACTTTTGCCATTTTATGTCAACTTTTGGCAACCTTCGGACAAAAAAATGGCAACAAACGCAGATGCTAGACAT